TCAGAACTGGGATAGAAGTAACCACAGTTCAATGAGATTCTGATTCTGAAATTCAATAGTTACAATTTCAAAACCAGTTTTGACTCACCCTTCTCCCCTCTGCCCGCCCCCGCTCTCCCCAGAATTAAGAAACAAATTAAATCATTTTACTTGGCTCCTGACTCTCTTGTTAATAGTTGTAATTGCATTCTCAAACAAAAGGATAGTTGTATTTGGGTCTATTGAGGTGCACGAGCGGTTTGGGTGAGTTATCAAACAGTGAGATTGGATGTGTGCATATTTCTTTCTATTGTTTATTCTAATGATCTTACAAATGAAGAGAAGAATACATATTAAGAAAGCCCATTTTACATTTGCCTGTAGTTGTTGTGTGACTTGCTTTGGTGCCGCACCGCTGAAAACTTTTTAACTTCTATTATGAAAGAATAGAAGATGCTTGCCATATATGCTATGTTTCTGGTTCTGTCTTCATTAAATTCATTTTCTTTTTGTACGTATCTATTACAGGCGGAGGAAGATAACGTAAATGAATATGAAGTTTGGCATGGCCTGGCAAACTTGTACTCTAGCCTTTCACATTGGAAGGATGCAGAGACATGTTTGGAGAAAGCTAGAGCTCTTATCGAGTATTCAGCAGACACTTTGCATACAGAAGGCAAGATTATGAACTTGATTTATAATGACAGATCCAGCTATTTTTTAGTTTATTAATTGACTTTCTTTCTTCGTTTTCTTTACTTGATATCAAATTCATTAAAAGTAAAAAAGGTGATTGCAACTAAGACTAAGGTGTTGGCCTAACATGGTTGTGAGTAACCCAAATAGGACTTGGAAAATTACCTCATTCATGCAATCTTGACTCATGTAGGTAATCTTAATATAGAAATGGCAAAATATTGCATGTTGAAGTGTTGGATCTGCTTATCGTTGGCGGGTTCAAATAAAGTAGCATTTGTTACATTCGAATTAGAATTTAGCTTTTCCCTTTTTTTGCACCTTTCGCCTGACCTGGGAGAAACCCTCCTAACAGTTTTAAGACAATGCTTCTTGTGTGATCTACATTGCATTAGATTTTTTATGTATCATTTACATTAGTATACATTTTATATGTTATTTTAAATAATTGTAGTTTAGTTGTAGGAGTAGTAATAACAGGAGAATTGAGAAAGAGCATGGTGATTGTTTATTTTGTACCTTGTGAAGTTCAAGCATGTTTCTCTTCCTCCTTTAGCATTATGCGCCCCTTCAATGTTTTTACAGCTGTTATCTGAGAATTTTCTGAAATACTAATTTTGATGTTGCATATTTGATCTTAACAACAACCCAGTATAATCTCACTTAGTGGGGTCTGGGAAGGGTAGTATGTACGCAGACCTTACCCCTACCATGGGGTAAAGAGGCTGTTTCCAAATAGACCCCCGGCATCCTTCCCTCCAAGAGCTTCCCACCTTGCTCTTGGGGAGACTCGAACTCACAACCTCTTGGTTGGAAGTGAAGGTTGCTTACCATCAGAGCAACCCCTCTTGTCTATATTTAATCTTAATACAAGCCTTCCAAAGAGATGTAAAATTTTAGAGTTTGAAACATGGGATAGATTCCAGGTACTTTTACATTTAGATCTTGTGCTTCTTCTTTTTTTCGATTTTTTTGTTTTTTTTTGTTTTTAAGGAAGCAAAAGATTCACATAGGTAAAACCAACTAGTTAGGATTAAGGCTTAGTCGTGTTGGTATACCTACACTAGGTCTGGTATTCACTTGAAGTCTTTTTAATTTGTTTAAATATTTTATATGTCCATAAAAATGTAGAGAATCTAGTTAAACCCCTAGTAGTATTGGATGGAGACGAGTCTAAATAGAGCGAGTGTATGGCATCCATTGTGCCATCAAATTTTTGTAAAGAGTAATTAAGAGTTTAATCAGTCACTTCATTTTATGGTATTACAAAATCAACATGAAGCTCTACCATTCTAAGCTTTTCTGATTCATTTGCTTTCTGGTTATGAGAAGTTCTTAATAGACACAGTTCAAAACTACTTAATTTGTTTCTATAAATGATTGGTATAGGAACAAAAATGACACCTACTGAGTACAATCCTTCTTATTACTTATTTTGTCACATACGCATCTGAAGCATTTTGAGGATCTTGTAAACTAGCTTCATGATGTCCCTTGCCCTACAAAGACGTCTCTGTGTTTGGATAGGAGGGGAACAATGATATAGTTTGAAAACGCTACCAGCTCTTTTGCTATTTGATGTAGGGGGTAGAGAATGTTCAAAGAAGTAAAATTCCTCAACTGCAGAGACCAAATTTTTTGTTCTGTCTTGAACATCTAAAAGTATAGGCCCATCTTCTTTGACAAATTCTCTCCAAGATGAAGAAAGAAAACTAAATAATTCTCTTACATTTACCCTTCTTTTATTTCTTTTCCTTTCCCTTCTCTCTGATCATCAGGAGCCGATGTACCACTATAGTTACGGATTCAGTTGAACGTATAACTTTCGAAGCGGAGCATAAATTAATGTGTAAAACTTCTCTAAGATTGCAATAGATAGTAGACATGAATCCATAACTTTAAAACTATAATAGGTTTAATGTTAAAAACTTTAAAGGTTGAACCCATAGATTTTAAATCCTGGATCCGCCTTTGTTGATCATTGCATTCTCCCCCTCTACGAACAGAGAGGTGCTAGTCTTTTGAGTGTGAAGTTGTAGAAAAATTGTTAGATACTTCAAGCCCCAGGGGCCTTCTTTTTTCTCTGGGAATACAGTTTACATGGGAGTAACAAGATGTCTGTATTGCTTGAATATTGTTCTAATTTAACATTCAACTCATCATAGTGTAATAGGCGGTGAAAGTAGAATGTGTTGGAACACTAGTTGAGATGCGTACAAGCTGCTCTAGACACCACTGGTACCAAGAAAAGTAGAAATGGGCTGGAACTAAAGTTGGAAAACAAGAAGAGTGGAGAAACTTTTGAACACTATGTTGTCTATGGATTTGTTTTTGTCTATATTAGTGCGCTTGTAGTTGTATTTATCATTTCTAAGAAAACGATGACAAGTTTGGTGATTGTTTGGCATCATTGACAGCAATAAGTTGACATTGAAAAGAGGCAATTTCACCAACAAAAAAAAAGGACAGCCCGGTGTACTAAGCTCCCGCTGTACGCGGAATCTGGGGAAGGGCTGGACCACAAGGGTCTGTCATACGCAACCTTATCTTACATTTCTGTAAGAGGTTGTTTCTACGGCTCGAAGCCGTGACCTCTTGGTCACATGGCAGCAACTTTACCAGTTACGCAAAGGCTCCCCTTCTACCAACAAAAAAAAAATAGTACTTATTATTAATAAAAGACAATTTCACCAATAAAATTCTTCTGTATTGTGGTTATGGAGATTTAGATTGTAATTATTAGAGCTGTAGTCTAATACAGAGTAACCTTACCAAGTTATGAGGTATGATAAGGCTGCTTGCATACATATCAGCTGCAGTTTTGTCTTCGATACCTAAAAGCTTCCTTCTTAACGAAAGGGAAAAAGATAAGCAGAGTAGATTAAACTTCTACTGATTCATCTATTTCAATTTGTTTCAGGTGTGATGCTTGAAAAACGGGGAGAAAATGACAAAGCGTTGGCTGCTTATGTAAATGCACTATTAGTAGAGCCTAATCATGTGCAATGCAAGATCTTGCTTGGTGCTTTATTGTCTAAAATGGGGTCGAAGATGTTGCCGTTGGCAAGAGCATTATTCTCCGATGCATTGAAGATCGAACCTACCAATCGCGTAGCTTGGTACCACTTGGGATTGGTTCACAGAGACGATGGACGGGTAGCTGATGCTGCTGATTGTTTCCAGGCAGCTTCCATGCTTGAAGAGTCTGATCCCATTGAAAGTTTCAGTTCCATCATTTGAACATTTCCAACCATATAAAGGTCAAATGCTTATTCTTTGATTCTTTTATTTATACTGGTTTTGGTTACAATGTCCAAAATCATCCTTAGATAACATACAATTGGTAGGATTTTTTTTGGAATAACTTCTCCCTCAATGTTTAAAGAAGTTTAGATTAATTGTACTATACTATCATTTTAGATTAATGTTGGAATTCTTTGATCATCCCTCAAAGTAGAGTTGCTTCTAGCTTTGCTCAACTACTAAACGGTTTGAAGACAATATCAATTATGCTGCATTTCATTCCATCTCAGTCCATCAATGTAGCCCTTCGGACACGGGTTCGACTGACCTAGAGGGTGTTTGGCTAAACTTATAAGCTAGTCAAACTGGCTTATAAGCACTTTTTGGCTTATCTGCGCGTTTGATAAAATTAAAAGTGCTTATAAGTTAAGTACTTATAAGCCAAAAGCCATAAGTTGGTCTCCCCCAACTTATCAAATTTTAGCTTATAAGCACTTTAAGTTTGACCAAAATATTTACTATTATATCCCTAAAATACTTCTTTTTAAAACAAAACTCTTCGTATACCTAGTTCTTCAGCTGCATATTATTAATTTCAGTACTTTTATCCAAACACGTAACTGCTTATTTTTTAAATCAGCTTTAGCACTTAAAAGTGCTTTCAGCACCTAATGCTTATCAGCTACTCTAAATCAGCTAAGCCAAACGAGCTCCTAATAACTTTTGTCCAAATCCTGTATTTATTTTTAAAAATTATTAAATTATGTGCAAATTATTAATTTAGAACCTAGTAATTAAAAAAAATAGAGTATTAATCCCATAAATTTTAAATTTTGGCTCCGTCTCTGTACCAATGGCCTTCCAACTAGTTGGTGCACAAGTTTTAGAAGTCTTTTTTTCTTTTCTTTTTTAACTCACTGCTCAGTCAACAGGAGAAGGGAGGAATACATATTTGGAGTACTGGTAGGTGCGAAACTATAATTAAAACATCAAACAAAAAGTATCCTAAACTAGTACAAAACAAATTAAACAAGCCCATCAAACTACACCATACCTCATACATATTTTTCTGTTTAATTAAATTAGTTGGTACTATCATGCTCTCTCTTCTTGCCCCATTGTTGGAGACAAAGCCTAATCTTCTTAGCTGCTGCCAAGTATTCCACAGCTTGATCAGGTTCAAGTATAACCACAATCTCTTTCAATGTCTTCATCCTCAATTCATCAGCTTCCTCCATTATAGCCGCCATGTATTTGTTATGTTTATCCAACGGTTCATCTGCATTCTCACACACTACATCATCATCTCCATCGTCTTTCTTCTTCTTCGACTTGCTAATAAGCGGCTGGTCTATTATCGCTTCTTGTAAACTAGCCAATCTTGATGAAAGCTTCCCTTCTTCTCGAATCGTCTTGCTCTGCAACTCGTCCACCATATTCATTTGCTCTGCTGTAAACTTAGGGAGTTCACCATTTGCTGTAATACCCTGAAGGAACTGAGTGATATGAGACTCGATTTCCATACCGCAGAAGAGAGCGTAAATCAAACGTATGAATGAAGATGGTCTGCACCCGCCGATCCATAGGACTGAGTTCTCTAATGGGGTGCACGAGGTGGGTGCAAAGAATGGTGATACGTCCTTTTGTGCTAAGCGACTACGGTTATTACTGTAGTCTTGGAAATGGTTTATAATCTTTTCAATGAGTTGAGTTTGTTTATGTTCATCTTTTGGGCTGTTTGCTGCAGCTGCTTGTTCAAGTTCCCTTAGTTCTTCATGTTGAAGATTCATCCAAGATTCGTATAAGCTTTCTTGCTCGTTGTTTCTATCGTTCTTGTTTGAACTTTCCATTTTCTAACGAGTTTATTTCACGGATATGTTTGTATATTCATGCCGTAATATATAAGGCTCGAATTAATTACCAGAAAAGGGACAAAAAAACCTGAAGAATAATGACAAGAAGCAACTAGACTATCATTTTTTGTCACGCAATTGGGATATTTTGCTGAATTGGTGCAAACTTCAACAGTCGTGTTTTGTCGTCATGCAAGAGAAGATAAATCTTGATTTATTTCTTTTCCCGTCTTTATCTAAACTTGTTTCTTTTCTTGCAAATCCAATCTCGCACCATCACTCGGCCATCACCGTATTTTTCGTGTCGAATCCAGATTGTGATATTAGTTGTAAGGCTCAATTAGTCTAAAGTTACTATTAATATAATATAATATTATCCGCTTTAGATCAAGCCCGCACGATTTTTTTTCATAAAATCACATATTATAAAGAGATGTCTATCTTATACAGCAACTTTTAATTTTTCAGTTTGAGTAAATACAATTTTTTTATATTGTATCTTAAAATATTGAATCTGTTTAATATATATATATATATATATATATCAAGGATGGTATATATGAATTTTACTCTGATCGTTTTATCAGAATTTCTTGCTCCAACGAACCCATTAATGTCGTGGCCTTATAATGACCAAACAAAAAGGAAACTGTTGCAAAATAAAGACTATAAAGTAAATTAACCAAAGACAAGTATAAAGAGACTAATATATTATTCAACTTCAAACATAGACACACACACACACACATATATATATATATATAGAAAAGAAGTATTTGCGAGACTTTTCAGGAAATAACTGCAAGGCTTTGCAAAAAGTAGCTGGAGGCTTTTCTTGAGTTGTTTGTAAGTTGTCTGCATGAGCTACTCGCAACTAGTGTTTAATAAGAAGTTGTTGCAAGTCATTTCATAGAGTTACTTGCAACCTGTCTGCATCAACTGCTTATAGATAGACTTCAGTGGAGTACTAAATGGACAATCTTCTTCGTAAAGATTATTTATAGCGGAGTATTAAATAAACATTCACAATATAATATATTCATCACACTCCTCCGTTGGATGTTCATTATTAAGTGCCTCGTTAAAACCATACTAGGAAAAACCCTACGGAAAAAAATTCTAGTGAAAGAAAAAAAGTACACATATTTAGTAATACGCATTGTTAGCTGCCTCATTAAAAACCTTAAAAGAAAGATCTCGTGGAAACAATCTTAGTAAAGAAAAAAGATTACATCGCGTATTTTACTCCCGTTGATGAAAATCTTGTTTCAAATATTTGAGTCTCCGCATTCCAATCTTGTATACCATCTTCTCAAAAGTTGAAGTTGGTAAAAGTTTAGTGAATAAATTTGTCGGATTGTCACTTGGACGAATTTGTGGCACATCGAGATTATCATTCTTCTGTAGATCATATGTGAAAAATAACTTTGGTGAAATGTGTTTCGTTCTATCTCCTTTTATGAATCTTCCATTTAATTGGCTTATACATGCAACACTGTTTTCGTATAAAATTGTGGGTCTTTTATCACATTTCAAGCCACATTTTTCACAAATAAAATGAATCACTGATCTCAACTAAACGCATTGTTTACTTGCTTCATGAATATCTATTATCTCGGTGTAATGACCCGACCGATCCTTTTGAGCTCTAGCGTGTCATTAAACAGTTTGAGACCTTGAGTAGCTTCACTTCATGTATTATAACTTGTACGTGTGGTCGGAATTGAATTTAGGAGAAGTTTGTAGTTGATTCAGGTGGAAAATTCTCATTTCGGAAACTTTAAGTTGGAAGAGTTGACCAAGGTTTGACTTTCGGGTAAACGACCTCGGAATTGGGATTTGAAGGTTCCAATAGGTTCGTATGATGATTTCAAACTTGGGTGTATGTTCGGGTTAAGTATCGGGTCACCGGGGAGCATTTCGGCGCCTATTATGGAAAGTTAGCATTTTGGAAGAAATTTGGGTTGAAGTGTATTTTTATCTTATCAATGATCGCTTGGGATTCGGAGCTTGAAAATAGCTCTGTATGATGATTCTGGTCTTAGGAGCGCATCCGGGCGTGAATTTGGAGGTTTGTAGGTCATTTCGGTGTCATTTGGCGAAAGTTGGAAATTGAATATTTTTGGGAACTTTGATCGGGAGTGGACTTTTTGATATCGGGTTCGTATTCCGTTTCCAAAAGTTGGAATAGGTTCGTAATGTCAAATGTGACTTGTGTGCAAAAATTGAAGTCAATCGGATGTGATTTGATAGGTTTGGGCATCGGATGTGAAAGTTAGAAGTTCAATAGTTCATTAGGCTTGAATCGGTGCGCAATTTGCAGTTTTGATATTGTTTCGTATGATTTGACGCCTCGAGCAGGTCCGTATTATATTTTGAAACTGGTTGGTGTGATTGGACGGGGTCCGAAGGGCCTCGGGTGTGTTTCGAGATGGTTTCAGACCAAGTTTGGATGAATGACTGTTGCTGGTTTGCTGGTGTTGGTTTTGTTATTCGCGAACGCGGAGGGAGAGACGCCGCGAAGAAGGAATTTGGACTGGGGCCTTTTGTTCTTCGCGCTCGTGATATGGAGGTCGCGTTCGCGAAGCGTTGGGCAGTGGTGCTTCGTGTTCGCGAGCCCTATCTCGCGTTCACATAGAGGAACTGAAGGGCATGAGCTGGTTGTGCTTCACGAACGCGAGGGACTTGCCGCATTCGCGAAGGAGGTCGGCCTGGACAGTGCGATTTTATAAACGGGAGTTTGGCCATTTTCATTTCATTTCCTCCATGGGAGTCCACCTTGGAGCGATTTTGGAGCATCATTTTCAGCGCCAATCACAAGATAAGTGATTCTCACTTATTTCAAGTTAAATACAGGGTTTATATATTGATTTAAAAATAGAAATTAGTAAAAATTTGAGACTTTGAAGAAAAATCTAGAAATTGATATTTTTGAATTTTGACTACGAAATTGGGCATAGAATTGAGAATAAATCATATATTTGAGGTTGTAGCGTTATGAGTAAAGGTTATCTTCAAAAAAATTCGGAATCCGGGCACGTAGGTCCGAGGGTTTTTATTGACTTTTCGAGTGGAGTTAGGAATCATTATAAGTTGTTAAATTGTAAGCATTGGAGTATATTTTGATTAATTTGCACATTATTTGACTAGTTTTGGAACGACGGGCATCGTTTTGAGTTGTTAGAGAGGCTTTAGAGTCGGTTATAGAAATTAGGAGCGAGGTAAGTCTCCTGTCTAACTTTGTGAGGGGGAAACTACCCCTAGGTGATGTAATTGTTATGTTCTACTAATTGTAGGTGCTACTTACGCACGAGGTGACGAGAGTCCGTAAGTAGCTAAAGCATGTTATGTCCGGGTAGACTTAGGATTTTGTCATGCAATATTTGAATTACTTGAACTTATTCTGCTGGCTTAGTTAATTGAAATTATAATTGAACTTGATTTAGAAATTACATATATCTTAGACCAAGCCTTATCACTTTGAGTTGTTAGAAAAATATTTGAGAAATGGAAAAAGTTATGCTCATGTACTGAATTGTAAGCGCGTGTCTAGTAATTCGGGAATGCCTTCCCTTCTTGTGGAGCGGGTCGAACGCATCAGCAGTATATAGATGCATTTATGGTTCGTGCCGCACAACCCTCAGCAATATACACATTATTTTGGATCGGGCCGAATGACCTCGACAGAACCGTGCGTTATATCACTAGCAGTTCGAATATTCACAAGATAAACCTTTCACTGATGCCTAGCATTTTATGGTGTTTCTTATTTATTTGTTACTGACACTTGGCATTTTTGTTTTTGAGATATTAAGGTAGAATACAAAATCGAGAAATTTATGCTCTAAAAGGATTAATTGGAACATTATGTTACAGATTTATTCCACTATTGTTGTGCGCTTCATACCTGTTATGAATTATTATTTATTTATTTGGACCTCTAGTAAGTGTTGATGTCGACCCCTTGTTACTACTTCTCCGCATTTAGGCTAGATACTTACTGAGTACGCATTGATTTATGTATTAATGTTGTACTTCTGCACTAAATGTGCAGGATTTGACAGGTCACTTGTTGATCATTTTGGTGCATAGGCGCATCTGTTGAGGAGACTTTATGTGAGCTGCAATTCAGGTTACGCATCGCAGCCTGCCGAATTTCCCATTGTACCATTTATTTTACCCTATCTTATTTACATTTTGGATAGATGTTGTATTATTATTGTACTTCTTAAAAAATGCGCATGCATTTATGACACCGGGTTTTGGGGGTTTTAACTAGATGTTTGGTATGGTTGTTCACATAATTATTATCATTTCACCATTTAAATTTTATTTCATACTATTTAATTAACCGAAATTATGATTTCAAAAGTAATAGAATGAGTAAATAAATTTATAAATCAACGTTGGCTTGCCTGACGATGGCGTTAGGCACTATCACGACCTATTGTGGATTTTGGGTTGTGACAACGTGGTATCAGAGCATTAGGTTCACTTGGGTCTCACGAGTCATGATCAAGTCTAGTAGAGTCCTGCGGAGACGGAGATGTCTGTACTTATCTTCAAGCGGCTGCAAGGATGTTAGGAGCACTTCCCTTCTTTATTCCTGATCGTGCGATATGATTCCTTGGAGGCTTATGCCATTATTTCCTTTCCACTCATTCTTATACGATGTTGAGTGCTCGTATTGATTGGGCATCGAGGATTTACTGTGGTACTACAGATGTGGGGCAGGATGTGTCTCCCTGCACATTCGAGCAAGTTATTATCGTCTTCTTGCGGAAGGATGTTCCATCATTTCAGCTCAATAGCTGTATTTCTGATGGTTTTGACGCTATGCACATGATTGCTATGATGTTCATGAGTTGTTATCGCACCGTGTTGGTGTAATGATAGAGTGCTTATTTATGGATCGCGACAGTGAATGACTCGAACGGAGGAGTTCTTGTGCATGATTTAGAGTTTCAGCATTTAATTCCAGCAAAGGAAAGGCAAAT